AGACAGAGAGAGAAAGGGAATAAGAAAGAGAGAGAGAGAAAGAGAGAGAGAGAGAGAGAGAGAGAGAGAGAGAGCGAGAGAGATGATGGATGTCAATATCGGTGCTCAACGAAAGAAGAGAGAGTAGAAGTCAGATAGACACATACATAGGTGCTGGAAGCTGGATGTCATTCTACCTGCTCGATGTAAGCATTAAGAGAGAAATAGGGAAACAGGCTAGGGGTGGTAGGAAGTCTCGGAGAGCGAAACACGAAATATGGACAAAGCAGGTGGAGAGTGAGCCAATGGGACGAACGAGAGAGACCGAGAGCGAGCGAGTGGACAAGCGCTCGACGGAGGAGGAGAGAAATTACTTCTACTCCATTACTGAAGACTCCTCTGAACAGATCCCGAACAATTCGGGCCACATCTTACCATTCCTCTGCCCGATACAAATGAGGTGCCGCCGAGAGAGAGAGAGAGAGAGAGTTGGGGATCTTTTGCTATTTATGGAAAGTTATAACGGGCAAATCCTTATCCCGATGTTTTGACTGCGCAGAGCGCACCCGCAGCGCAACAAAACATATGAAAAGGGAGGTAGTACATAAGAGGCGATGACGGACGGAAGGCTTCACGAGCGCAGCTATGGTGATACGGTGATACCGACAACCAGTCGAGCGCACCTATGGTGAAAATAGGACTGTAGCGCAATGAACCTGGCCTCGAGCATTGGCAAGAATCTCTACCCCTACATCTCGAACGGAGGGAGATAACCACAAACGGCTAGATAGAGGAGGTGGTCGGTGGAGCGGCTGAGGGAACAAGCAGGAGTAACGCCACTCGATTCGCGATCAGATCGTACGGAGGAAGACAGCCATTCACTGCCCCCAGTCATCCTGCATTCCCACACCCACTCTCGTCTTTCTCCTCTCTCTCCCTCTCCTTCCTCCCCTTTCTCTCCTCTCCTCTCCAGTGACCCTCTACACTGATGACAGTCGAACAGGACCCAAGGATGCAGCAACAACAGATAGAGCGATCGACATCGCCTTTCCGTCCCCTTCTCCTCGCACACGTGCTTCGTCTACTTGCTCCTCCTCCTCCTCCTCCCCCTCCTTCTCCTCCTCCTCCTCCTCCTCTCGCGTACTGACGATGTTACGTATTGCCGGATAGATCGATTGGTCCCGACGGGAAGATCCTCGTCTTACCACCTCTCCTCCCCTTTCTCTCTCCTTCCCTCTCCTCTCCTCAGAGAGTCATACCATACCGCAGCTATCAGCCTATCAGTCCGTTAAGCCGGGCCCCGACAACACATCCTTCGTCATCTACGGTAGTCTCCCCCTCCCTCCTCGTTTTCCTCCGACCTATACTCTGTTCTCTCCTCTCCTCTCTCTCTCCTCTCTCCTCTCCTCTCCTCTCCACTACCACGCTCCGCAACGCTATCATAGATAGTAAACGCGTGCGAGACCGCCCACTGTTTGTTTCCTCTGCACGCGAGGTTAGACACTAGACACTAGACACTGGCTTTTCACTGGACGAGGAGTTTTGCCAACTGCTCACTCTCCGCGCGTTTAGCGTAGGGGGCAGGCCCCGCTCCACTCCACTGGGCTGGGGATGGGGATGGGGATTTTTTTTTTTTTTTGTTCATGCTTGGAACGCCCGCACCTGGCCGTAATAACCGCCACCATCCCGTCGTTGCCAGGATGAACACATAGTCACAGGTTAGGCCCCTGCTGAGCCCCCTAGACCCGCCGGACCCTTGGCACCCTTTCCCCGCACTTCACCGAACTTCTGAGGACAAACTCACGGTAGGGCTTTCCTAAATGTATCTGGTAGCAATTACGGCCACCTCCGAAGGAATCTGACCGCAATCACGGCCCGTGCGTGGTACCAAAAGTCCTCGTGCGAGTATGTCCCGACGGCGGGCCTGGGCTACCACCCTGCTGGTAGTAAGCGGGAACCCAAAAAACAAAAAACGTCCTTCGGGACATCCGTTAAAATTGGAAAGATACAGAGAAGATTAGCAAGGATGACACGCATAAATCGAGAAATGGTCCAAATTAAAAAAAAAAACAAAAAAAAAAACAAAAAAAAAAGAAGGTAGTAAAG